CACTTTCAGCCATGGAATAAACGGGGAAGAGAGTGCCCCGTTGTCCTACCACCTCCTGTAGACCAGACCTAGACCACAAGAGGTCAACCGATGTGTCCTGTGCACGAATGTTGCAAGCAACATGGTAAGAGACATTCACAATACCATCTTCGCTAACCAGCTTGCTCAGGTCAAATCTCCTATCATCCTTTTGACCAAACTTGCTTATTGTCAAGAGTATTGCCATGTCAATATCTTGATTGACAGCGAGGACAGATTGTTGCAAGTGCTGGAGCATGAATTGCTGGTCCGCATTCAAGATGTTAATCCTGCCCAGGGTAGAAAGATTGGTCTTCTGAAGAGTCGGCCGCTCCAAATGTTCTGGCGAAACACTTCTTAGTCTCAATGAAAAGTTGTTGAAAACGGCATTAATGAGGCCAATGGCATGGGCCTTCACTACCATCTCACTTTTGTACATGGGGTGAGCACTGTTTGGATTTGCTGGAACACAAGTTAGGTTTAGAAAGTACCCCCCCATCAACGTAGCCCAGAACAACCCCCACACTTTTCCGCAGAGCACTGACCCCGTCAGCACTGTACTTCTTCAGGTCCAGGTGTTTCTTTAAAATGTGCCAGTGTTTACAGACTTTCGATCCATCCACTTTCCCGGCGAACAAGTAATGGATACCTGCGGTTATGCAACTAACATCAGCAAGATGGACCACAATCCCGTCAAAATCGTAACTGTATTGGAGAGACTCTGCAGCATCATCCACTACAGTGGCAAAAAGGGGAACATAGACTGATTCATCCCTTAAAAACAAAATAACAACTAGGTTTTTCACTCTACACTAATCCTAACCTTACCCTTTTCATTATTGATGTTATTCACGCTTTGAAAGATCACAGATATGTTTACTTTTACTTTCATTTTCAATTTGGGGTTAAATCAACACAAGCAACAGAAAAACAGCTATTATTCGCTGTGCCTGACTCCACTCTACCATGTTTTCTGCAGTAGGCTGTAGGGCCATAAACACTGCTTCCAGTGTGTTGTAATCAGAAATACTTGGTTTGAAGACGTGCAATTAATTCTGCTTGATCGTTGATGATCTTGTGGGCTTCCTTAAGTTGCTCCTCCAGTGGCGGGGGCAGTTCAGCATAATCATGATCGGGTGTGGAGTCTCTGCACTGCAAGGGTAAGAAAATATTGAGGGACATAATTTTAGGAGAGCATATTTTAAACTAGTGATCAATCTCCCATCTGAGGCCAGTCATTTGCAAAACAATGCTTTTCTCTTGAGAGTGATATTTCCCTAAGTAGAACAGGTCAGTAGCAGTCACCTCCAACATAAGCTGCTCTGGAAATCTGCTGTCACCACCAACAATATATAGAATAATATTAGTTTTTTAACACTCAATATTGAATTTGGGGCCCCTGGGAGATTTTAAGAAAATCCCACTCGCCCATTAAATGAATGTATTTTGCCATAATGGTTTCGTGGACACCGCTTCGCAATGGCCGATCGACTAGGGGGCGACGTTTTCCGACTCGCCACGGCCCCCTGGTGCGGGCGGAAAAGTTTGGTGGCCCCAGGACCTCGTTTAGGGGTCGAAAGGTCGAAAAAGGGTGAAAAAAGCACATTTTCAAAATGACAAGGGTCACAAAGGTCAAACCGACGAAACGAGCTGCCATACGGACACGGAAGGTCGCAGGACCCCGAAACTCGGTGAGCTCTGTCGTCTAGGGACCTTGAGTGGGCCCCCAGAGTTTGAGGGCCCTAGCTGCTTTCTAAGCGTTTCGTATGCCCCGTTTGTGACGAGCCATTCATTGTGGATGGCGACTGAAAAGTGTGGATGGTGACTGGAGATTTTTTTTTAATTTTTTTTAAAACAAACCACCTCTACTGTACTAAGTACACTCTGCGGGATGCCCTGGAAAAGTTTGGGGGCCCTGGGACCTCGTTCAGGGGCCGAAATGCCGAAAAAGTGGCCGAAACCGACATGCCTGTAAATGGTCGGCGGGACGGCCCCCGCACGCAGACGGAGGGTCGTGGCACCTCGAGACTTCAGATTCCGACTCTCCAGGGGCCCCTGACTCGGGGCCCCGAATCGTGGAACTCTAGGACCTTTGCAAAAAAACGCCCCTCCCCCGTCATCAAATCATTTTGAGGCTTGAATGGCTCTTTCAGGGTGAGAGTGAAACATGCCTGAGCGTGAAATGTTGCACAGAGGCTAAAAATGTTTTCCTCGGCCCCTGGGCCCCGTACTTTCGGTATGTCACTCGGGACGGGCCCCGGGGGCCGTTTCTGTGTTCGAATTGCATAAACAAGCAGCGTCCGCGGGACCACATTTTGGCGGGAAAAATAGGTTGGAAGTGGGATGTTGTCGTGTTTCCGCTCTCCCGCCATTTGTGGCGTCGGTCCCCGTCGATTAAACCACCTCTACTGTACTAAGCACACTCGGCTGAACGCGTGGCACTGTCTTTCCGAGTCGTTTCAGTGTTTAATTGCCACGAAAACGAGTGTCCTCGAAGACACGTTTTGGCGGCAAACTATTTTTCAAGCTAGTCTGTGGGAATATCTTGATGAAAACTTTTTTTAAATGTGATATTCTGACTCTCAGGGCCATTGTGATTGTGAAACCAAGCTGTTTTGTGAAATTAGTCATGCGAAAGGCTTTGTAATTAGGCCAAACATACAGTTTGGCCGTTTAAAAATAGTGGGTTAGTGGACACTTTGGCGTTTAAGCTTTGTCTTTCGAAAATTTTTCGATGAAACGAGTTTATAAAGACTCAGAGGGATCCTTTGATGCGGGCGGAAAAGTTTGGGGGCCCTAGGACCTCGTTCAGGGGTCGCAAGGTCCAAAAAGGGGCCGTGAGTTAGGGTTAGCGTGACGGTTAGGGTTAGAGGCTGACGACGTCTTGCCTCTGCTCTAGCGCCCCCTGCTTTCGGTATGTCGCTCGGGGAGGCCCCAAGAGTCAGCATGCTGAATTTGGGGCCCCTGGGACATTTCTGTAAAAATCCCGCTCGCCCATTAAATGAATGTATTTTGCCATAGTGGTTTCGTGGACACCGCTTTGCAGCGGCCTATCGACTAGGGGGCGCCGTTTTCCGACTCGCCGCGGCCCCCCGGTGCGGGCGGAAAAGTTTGGGGGCCCTCGGGCCTCGTTCAGTGGGTCGAAAGGTCGAAAAAGGGACGCTCGTCCGCAAAACCACTACGAAATAAGTGGTCCGTGGGACGGCCCCCGTACGGGGACGCAGGGTCGTGGCACCTTGAGATTTGAGATCTGGGCCCTCCAGGGGCCCCCGACACACGGCCCCGAAGGGTGTAAACCTAGGACCTCCCTGTAGCAAGTTTGCCACTTTTAACCAACTTTCACTCAAAAGCCTCTTAGGGTACATGAGTGAAAGACCCAGTAGGCCAGAGATTAGGGTTAAAGGGGTAAAATGTGTTGCCTTTGCTCTAGCGCCCCCTGTTGTCAGTATGTCGCTCGGGTGGGGCCCAAGGGTCAGCATGCAGAGTTTGGGGCCCCTGGGACCTTTCTGTCAAAATCCCACTCGCCCATTAAATTAATGTATTCGCCATCGTGGTTTCGTGGACGCCGCTTCGCAATGGCCGATCGACTAGGGGGCGACGTTTTCCGACTCGCCACGGCCCCCCGGTGCGGGCGGAAAAGTTTGGGGGCCCTCGGACCTCGTTCAGGGGTCGAAAGGCCGGAAAAGGGACGTTGTCCGCAAAACCACTATTTGTCCAATAACCCGCTTCACGATGGCCGATCGACTAGGGGGTGACGTTTTCCGACTCGCCACGGCCCCCTGGTGCGGGCGGAAAAGTTTGGTGGCCCCGGGGCCTCGTTCAGGGGCCGAAAGGTCGAAAAAGGGTGGAAAAACACATCACGGGGTCAAAAAGGTCAGACCAACGGAACGCGCGACCGTACGGAGACGGAAGGTCGCAGGAGTCCGAAACTCGGCGAGTTCCGTCGTCTGGTGGCCCCGAGTCGGGCCCCCGAGTTTGAGGGCCCTAGCCGCTCGCCAAGCGTTTAAAGTCGGGACGAGCGTACGGCTGAAAACGGGCCTTTTTCCGAGTGTCTGCCATTGACTTCAATGGCAGACAGAGAGATGGATCAAACGTGATAAAAAATACTTTCTCAGGCCCTAGGCCCGGGCCCCTTCGGCACGTCACTCGGGGCGGGCCCATGGTTCACCGTGCAGAGTTTGGGTCCCCTGGGGCGTTTCTATAAAAATCCCACTCGCCCATTAAATGAATGTATTTTGCCACAGTGGTTTCGCGGACGCCGCTTCGAAAGGGCCGATCGACTAGGGGGCGCCGTTTTCCGACTCGCCGCGGCCCCCTGGTGCGGGCGGAGAAGTTTGGTGGCCCTGGGGCCTCGTTCAGGGGTCGAAAGGGTGAAAAACACGTCACGGGGTCAAAAAGGTCAAACCAACGAAACGCGCCGCCATAGGGAGGCGGAAAGTCGTAGGACCCCGAAACTCGGCGAGTGCCGTCGTCTCCCGTCCCTGAGTGGGGCCCCCGAGTTTGAGGGCCCTAGCCGCTTTCTAAGCGTTTCCCAACCCCCGTTCGTGATGAGGCCATTGATTGTGCATGGTGACTGATGTGAGTGTCACAGGCCGGAGGGAGGTGTGTGTGGGGGCTCTTGCTTGTCGACCTCCCCTCCCTCCTTCTACTGTAACTTCCCCCCCTGGGGAGCTACCCCGCAGCTCAAGGACGACGGACAACAAAGTAGAAAAAATAATCTCAAGTTTATTTATTTAAAAGGCAATCTCAAGGGGAGAGAACAGGCCAACCGTTCCTCCTGTGTCGACAAGTCCGACCTGGATGACAGCAGTGGGGATTGAGCTCGATTCACTAGGCCAACGAGACTGCAGACCGAGTGGATTGGTATAGATTCAGTATGCCCCCTCTTTATGCTCGGGAGCAGAGCTGGATACAACACCGAGGATGTGGCTTGCTTCGCTGGCTCAGTGGGCCTTTCTTTCTTCTCAGATACAAAACTGGATGCAGCAGCGAGGATGTGGCTCGGTTCACTGGCTCAGCGGGACTTCAGAATAGACTGGTAAGCAAGCAGATTTGTGTGGATGCAATATGCTCACTCCTTCTCAGATACAGGGCTGGATGCAGCAGCGAGGATGTGGCTCGGTTCACTGGCTCAGCGGGACTTCAGCATAGACTGTTAAACAAGCAGATTAGGATGGATGCAATATGCTCACTCTTTCTCAGATACAGGGCTGGATGCAGCAGCGAGTATGTGGCTCGGTTCACTGGCTCAGCGGGACTTCAGCATAGACTGGTAAGCAAGCAGATTTGTGTGGATGCAATATGCTCACTCCTTCTCAGATACAGGGCTGGATGCAGCAGCGAGGATGTGGCCCGGTTCACTGGCTCAGCGGGACTTCAGCATAGACTGTTAAACAAGCAGATTAGTATGGATGCCATATGCTCACTCCTTCTCAGATACAGGGCTGGATGCAACAGCGAGGATGTGGCTTGGTTCACTGGCTCAGCATAGACTGTTAAACAGAGTGTGTTAGTATGGATTCAATATGCTCACTCCTTCTCAGATGCAGGGCTGGATGCAGCAGCGAGGATGTGGCTCGGTTCACTGGCTCAGCGGGACTTCAGAATAGACTGTTAAACAAGCAGATTAGGATGGATGCAATATGCTCACTCCTTCTCAGATACAGGGCTGGATGCAGCAGCGAGGATGTGGCTCGGTTCACTGGCTCAGCGGGACTTCAGCATAGACCGTTAAACAAGCAGATTAGTATGGATGCAATATGCTCACTCCTTCTCAGATACAGGGCTGGATGCAACAGCGAGGATGTGGCTCGGTTCACTGGCTCAGCGGGACTTCAGAATAGACTTAAACAAGCAGATTAGGATGGATGCAATATGCTCACTCTTTCTCAGATACAGGGCTAGATGCAACAGCGAGGATGTGGCTCGGTTCACTGGCCCAGCGGGACTTCAGCATAGACTGGTAAGCAAGCAGATTTGTGTGGATGCAATATGCTCACTCCTTCTCAGATACAGGGCTGGATGCAGCAGCGAGGATGTGGCTTGGTTCACTGGCTCAGCATAGACTGTTAAACAGAGTGTGTTAGTATGGATTCAATATGCTCACTCCTTCTCAGATGCAGGGCTGGATGCAACAGCGAGGATGTGACTCGGTTCACTTGCTCAGCGGGACTTCAGCATAGACTGTTAAACAGAGTGTGTTAGTATGGGTTCAATATGCTCACTCTTTCTTCTCAGATACAGGGCTGGATGCAACAGCGAGAATGTGGCTCGGTTCACTGGCTCAGCGGGACTTCAGCATAGACTGGTAAACAAGCAGATTAGTATGGATGCAATATGCTCACTCTTTCTCAGATACAGGGCTGGATGCAACAGCGAGGATGTGGCTTGGTTCACTGGCTCAGCATAGACTGTTAAACAGAGTGTGTTAGTATGGATGCAATATGCTCACTCTTTCTCAGATACAGGGCTGGATGCAACAGCGAGGATGTGGCTTGGTTCACTGGCTCAGCGGGACTTCAGCATAGACTATTAAACAGTGTGTTAGTATGGATTCAATATGCTCACTCTTCTCAGATACAGGGCTGGATGCAGCAGCGAGGATGTGGCTCGGTTCACTGGCTCAGCGGGACTTCTGGATAGACTATTAAACAGTGTGTTAGTATGGATTCAATATGCTCACTCTTCTCAGATACAGGGCTGGATGCAGCAGCGAGGATGTGGCTCAGTTGACAACAATGAGGAATGCGATTTCGTCGTAGGTCTGTTCGTTCGGATGCCGCACAGGCCGCAGCTTTCTCTCCCCACTCGTGCTTCCACTACAACACACGTGATTAGAATGACCGGCACTGCACTCACAAAACCTCACCCACCGAAATCAGCGTGCGGGCCCCTGACGACAGCCTCGGCGAACAGAATCTCTATGACAGATGTAAACAAACTCTGCACTGCAATGTCGCATCTGAAGCGCTCCTCTTCTTTCCCCCCAAATTAATTTCTGCAGACGCAGTCCCGTTACAACCTCTTCAAGAAACAAAGTGAAGTAAATCTTCCACCCAATAATACTATGACAGATCCTAATACTATGTTCGGTAAAAGGAGACCGTCACTTATCTATTTTAAGCCCTGTGCTTTGAAAGCCCTGTGCTTTGAGTTTGAAATTTTTTCGCTGTGTGGTTTTTGAGATATTCTTGAAAAACAAACATTCCCATGCGTTCAATGGTTATATGGCTGTCACCCATGTCTCCAAGGGGACTTCCAGATGATTAAAAACTACTTTTTCAGCCCCAACCACCTCTACTGTACTAAGCACACTCCACTGAACACATCTCACTGATTTTCAAGTCATTTCAGTGTTTAGTTTGCATTAAAATGGGTGTCCTCGAAACCACGTTTTGGTACTGTGATAAATGCTACGTGGGATGGGACACATTAATGAAAGTTCCAAATCATGATAAAAACTATTTTACTGCACTCAGGGGCCTCCCCTGAGTCCGTAGCACCAAGTCCCATCCCATAATTCCACTGACCACGAACCCACTATTTTTTATAATGTAATAAATTCTACGTGGGATGTCCATAGCTCTGGTCAGGAAGGGTCTAGAGCCTCCATTTTTGCACTCAGGTCTAAGTCTCATCACCCTCTATCAGAATCCAGAGTTTCGAGAAGATCGGTCAACGGGAAGTTTGCGCCATATAGTGGGTTATTGGACAAATAGTGGGTTCGTGGGATGGGGGCGTGGCCCGGGAGTGGGGGGGGGGGTGGTCCCGGGACGTTTGGTAAATATAGTGGGTTATTGGACAAATAGTGGGTTCGTGTGACGGGGGCTTGGCCCGGGAGGGGGGGGGGGGGGGGGTGGTCCCGGGACGTTTCCCCAATATAGTGGGTTATTGGACAAATAGTGGGTTAGTGGGACGGGGGGGGGTGGGGGGGGTCGGGTCACTCTAGTGGTCAAACGGACAAATAGTGGGTTAGTGGGACGGGTCAGGTGTGGCGCCCCACCCAGGACGATGGCCGAACTGCTCGGGGGGGTCTCGGGCTTCGGGGCACTCCCGTCGGGCCCCAGAGGGGGTCGGGGCCCCTGCCCGCGCGTGTCGGGCGCCCGGGGAGGGTCGGCCTGCGGCGTCGGCCGACCCCCCAAAAATTTCGGGGGGCCGGCGCGCTCGTCCGCCAACCCCCGTCCGACTCCCAACGGCCCAAGGACGGAATGGACCTTTTATTTTTTCATGGACTAGCTAGATATTAAATCTTGAAAGGTTCGATCCCAGACAGAATTAAATATATCTGGGTACAATATGTATCATTTTCATGATTTTGATTTTCAAAAGGAATAAGTGGTAACTACAGAAGGGTGTACTACAAAGTGAGGTTAATGGGTTAGCTAGGTATGTTGAGCCAAAAGCCAGAATTGTTTATGTCACAAAGGGGGCTCTCTTAACCCTCTGGGGACCAGAAACGCGCCCGCGCGTTTTGCTCGTTTTTTTTTTTAGCAATGCAAAATAAACTCAAACTGCTCTGTTAATTTTGATCTTTCATGTTCGTGTTATACATCAATCGATCCTGTTCAGTTTCTATTTTTTTTCTGTATACTCACAATAAAAATAAAGTGTTTTGCTTTTTGCCAAATAAAGAAAAATGAACATGATGCGAGTTCTTCACTCTCTCTGTCAGCGAACTCCAATTTGAAACGCGTTCGGAAATGATCTGTAACTCCACGAAAATTCAGTCAAACAGGCAAACATACCCACGGGCATAAAGCTAGAGATCGCATCTTTTAAATGAAGTCATTTATATTAAAAACAAATATTCTCAGCTTCTGTAATCTGTATGAAAATAGAGCGATTCCAGTCGAGCTCATTACGAGCTCATTCACTTTAATTCGTTCACGCCTACTCCCGGAGCGCGCTATTCACAAGATAATGTGTTAAGCCATCTATGGAAAACAGGCAAACGCCCCCAAGCAAATGCATTAAAGGCTTCAAGTTTCATCATTCAGTTCACCTGCGCGTTAGGAAGATGGCACGATACACCGGTGTAGAAGCTCTTCAGCTCGTCCTGGATACTAGCGACGAAGAATCCACATTTTCATCAGAAGAAGAGCGCGACTCTGATGACGACCGTTTGATCGAGCCGTGGATAGAATTTCGTATGAGTAAGCATTTAGTCTTAGCAACACAGTCAGAAATCAGAAAGAGTAAGTACATATTTACCTACAATTTTACAGATGTTAGTTCAATTTTGTTTATACTTAGTGTTAATATAATATGAGCCTGTATGACTTCACAATTGCTTTGTTTATAGCCGACTGATTATTTATTTATTTTACTCACATTTGATTTGCTTAGAGCAAATTTAGAACATTTAGTTTCTCCACATAGAGGAATTACAATAAAACAAATTGAAAAACCTTTGAATCTCCTCTCATTCTTTGTTCAGGCTGCCTCACTTGATGGGCCATTAGCCATTGGGGGAGTGTCTGTCACACCCCTGGTCTGAATCTCATTAATATTGATAGGCCATTACCACCCCCTCGCATAAACCTCTTCTGACAAAAAAACTGTCATACAAAGTATGAATTCATGTTTTGCTTTATGTGAACAATTAGGCAGGATGATTTTCACATCATTTTGAAGCCAGAACTCGAAGCGACAACATCCATTAGTCAAAAGTCTTGTGGACACATATTTAGTATGTGTTTTGTGGTCTTATTTCAGCAACTTTCATTTTAATTTTTTTCAATAACCATGCATAAACATTATTCTCTTAAAAATACAAACATGTACATACACGTTGCTCACATATCATGGTAGCCCCGTTTGTGCTATATAGAGTGAATTTACACCTTTGCCATTAACATGTTTATAAATAACTGAAAAAAGCACAAATGTCAGTGCATGTCAAAACATCCCAAAGGGCCCAAAAACACGCTGTTCCCCAGAGGGTAAACCTGGCTATATCACCATGGTAACTTATGCTGCACACCCAACCTGCTTCGGAGGAGGTTATGTTCAGAGTTTATGATTGAAACCGGCTATAAAACGCACCGCCCTGTCACAAATCATTTTCCTGATGATAATCTCTATGACCAATTTATTGTCACGGTTCATGAATTCACTGTCTCTCTCGTCCTCGTGCTGTTGTGTGTATGTATGTCTGTGGGCGTGGTCTCTGATCACCGCTGATTACAGCACCAGCTGTCACCACTTGTTTGTCCCTTTATATGTGCAGTAACTGGTGTCTCATGTTGTCAGATCGTTGTGGTTTCCCCGGTGTGTGTGTGTGTGTGTGTGTGTGTTCCTGTTCCGTGCTGTCTCGTTGGATTGTGGATTTGCTTCGTGTTCTTCGTCGTTTGTTTTCCGTCCTGGATTCCCGCACTGCTTCACCGCGCACTGAGGATTACTGGATTACTACTGGATCACCGAGCACCATCACCGGGTAGTCTACCAAAGTCCCTGCGCCACTTACCATCCTGAGTTTGTGTTCGTCTGACCTGCTACTGTCTTCATCTGTCTCAATAAAGAGTTAACTTGCATTTGCAAACAGCTTTGTTATTGTCACATATATATTCTCAGCTGAGGGAATAAGTTATATATGCAAACTTGCTGAGCCGTACGTTAATGCCAAAAACTAAAGTGATTTTCATATAACCATTACTATGGGAAAGTGTCAGACCTAAATGCAATTCTTGAGTATAATGTTTAAATCCGGTAGGCCTTAATGCTGGTGTCGTGCCGAAAAGTGATTGCAATAACCCAGATAGCAATGAGTCGGCGGACCACCGTCGGTTCTCCGGCGGCAGTAGAAGCGTCAGAATGGCGACATCGCAAACACGTTGGACGGCGCACCGCCGGCGGCAGCCGCTTTTTAAAAGCGGCAGCCGCCTTCCTACCGCCTTCGTTAAGCGGCCGGCCCGCGGGCCAACCGCCGTTCCGCCGCCTTTATATTGAAGGCCGTCCTTCCGCGGCCCGCCGGAGGCAAACGCTATTTTCGAGCGCTCTGCCGCCACTTATTCTGGCTATATATATTTTTTATTTTATTTATAGCATGCAGTTTATCAAGAATAATGATTGCTCAAACCAGACAAATTTACAATTGGCATTTTTATTCCACATTTCAAAGTACAGTAACTGTCATTTAAACAAGATGTTTCAGATCACTGAAACATAACAGAAAAATAAATAAATCAATATACTAACATGCAGGTTTCCAATTCAATTTTGGTTAAACAGCCTTACAAGCAAATTACAACACTTACAATAAGTGTTCATATAAAAAGGACAGCTCTAGGGTAAAAAAAAATTACCAGTAAACATTATGACAAGTAAAGAGGATATTTGATACCAAATAATGAGCAAGACACCAAATAAATAAAAGTATAACTACATTTACAAGCCATTTCTAACAATATGATAAGTGGTAGTAATTTATAGTAAAGCTCTGGAGTAGAATAGGCCATTATAACGGCAATGCTGACCTGTGGCACAAGGATTTACAAGCTTTATTTGAAAAAGAAAAAA